ATGATTTCATTGTTACACTGTACACTCTGTTTCTTTCCAGGAGAGGTCTTACTGATGAGCTTGGTGCAGAAGCTTTGATGTTTGATGCACTGGAAAAGGTTGAGAAAGAATTGAAGAAACCTCTCTTGAGGAATGACAAGAAAGGAATGTCTGTTCTTATGGCTGAGTTTGACAAAATCAATCAGAAGTATTATTCCAACTTTTTCTATTATTTGTTTTTATTTTGGCCCCATTCCAAAAAATTGAGTGGTTTACGATCAGTTATTATGATGCGATGGACTATATTCCAAGATTGGCATCAAGGAAAAGAAAAATCTTTTTAGAAAGTAGAATCCCATAGTAGCTTTCACGCTCCCACTTTGGATAAATGACATATTCATCATCCTTCTATTTCTGTTTTCGTGGAAACTACCTGACAATTGTGAACATTATGGAAAATTATCATACGATATGGAGGTGGATTAACACTGATTGATGAATTTAAAGAATGTAGTAAATATAAGTCATACAAAGTTCTAGTGGAGAATGATTTTCATTTGTATTTGTATTTGTATTATTTGTGCGCCTGTGTGTCTATTTGGCATGAAAGCTGCTTCCTGCCTGGCAGTGAAGCAGAAGGGTACCACCTTATAGATTTATTTTCTAATTTGACTTAGATGCTAGCTTTTACCAGTCTAAATTTCTGACGGAGGTTCAAGATGGTAAATCCTACATACAGTTAAAAAATCCTTCTTTAGGCATATGATATACAGTATTGACGGCTTTGGTTTGATATTTGTGGATCAGGCTTGGCATTCGGAGGGAAGATCTGCCCAAGTACGAGGAGCAGTTGGAACTTAAAATTTCCAAGGCACAATTGGATGAGCTGAAGAAAGATGCTCTTGAGGCAATGGAAACTCAAAAGAAGCGGTATGTAGTTTGTTGTCTTGATAATTATTATATTGCAAAAAACTTAGTCTGGATTGAGATAGCTTTGTCCAGCAGATAATTCTGTGTTACCCTTTTAAGTATGACGTTAACTAATTTATATTTTTGTGCTGCCTTCTTTTTGAAACTTATGCAACTTTCCCTCTTTGTTTTCAGTGAGGAGTTTAAAGACGAGGAAATGGTGGATACGAAGTCTTTAGACGTGAGAAACTTCCTGTAGATTTTCAAATCATTTTTCATTTGTTTTGTGGTTGAGCAAAATCTTTATCAACTGAAGTTATTTGGTTGTTTTGAACACCGGGAATCCATCTCTTTAGCTTTAATAAGAAAAGCACCTATGATATTGGGAGTGCATCATTGTCTGATGTTTGATCCCAACTCCCTTTTTTTGTAATTCATCCTACTATGTTGCTTTGCCAGGTGATAACTGGATGGATATTTTCAAGAAATTTTCATTCTGTCCTGCTACCAGATTCCAATAAGTTTCTGTTATATTAGATTATGAGCGTCTCGACTAATCCCATAAAACACATGTTTAGTTCTATGCCAATAAGTTTGCAGGATTGTAATTTTTAAGTGGGTGTCTACTACGAGGCTAACTAAGTCTCTTAAGGACTATGATACTCTTCCAAAAGTTATATTATATTATTACTTCCATTAAATTGGAGTAGAGTAATAAGCTCACATTTTGAAATATTTTAAATGAGCTTTAACCCTCATCATTAGATTGATTCATTAGAAAATGATTAGTTGCCATACTTCTTAGCGATTGACTACAAATGATTAGGTACTATATGAGAAAGATTTGAATGAGATTGGTCATTTCTTCATTGATCCCAAAAGAATTATGGGAGAAATTTGAAAGGTTCACCATCTATTTTGGATTGAGATTATACATGAACCAAGCTCTTTGATATTGTAATTTAATGGTTATTAGGAATATAATACACCTTTGAGCCAACTTTATTGGGTTTGGGTTTGAGAATTTTAAAAAGCAAGCATGAAGTATTTTAGCATAGCTACACAAGTAAAGCTTCAACCTTACTATTTTTTCAAGAGAACGTACGTATTGAAAACTCAAGTATAATATTAGTAAAATAAAAACTTTAAAATTTAAGATTTAACTGAATCATAGTCCAACGTTTCAAATCTTATATACGGTTAGATCATGCCAAGAGAAGACAAGAAAAACAATCAAGGTTAATACGTAACAACAAGTATTGATTTGACAATAATGAGAACTTTATTTTGTCGCAATCCTTGCTTT